ACTGAGCCGAGGTGCGACCCAGCGACCTTCTTGCTGTGAGGCGACAGCACTACCTACTGCGCCACTGCCTCGCCTCATGTTCATTTTAAGTAAAATAAAAAATATATATTATTTTTTGTAACCTAGGGCATCCACTGGGTAAAACATAATCTGAATAAGTTGGCGGTTCATTCTGCTGTGGTGATCCAAGATTAATAAAGGGACTAAAACAAAAATAAAATGACACAATGAATGTTTGTAACTTAGTGATATTTACCATAAATAATATATTGCAAATATATTACCAGTAATACAATTTGAACTTAAAAGTCTATTTAAAACATTTTACAATAATTTCAAAGGAGATCCTCTTCTTTTGCTGGCACATTTATTTAGTTTTTAAGCAGCAGATACTGACTTTTAAGGTATGGCAACCAAAATAACATCTGATAGATGTCATAGTGGTAACATCCACACAAAGTCAAGCTGTAACATCATTAGAGATTGATAGTTGGTTGATTTTAGGTTGGAAATCAGACATTATCGCCAGCCTGGCATTGTGTTCTGACGTTAACCCGATTTTCTAAACAAAATGCAGCATCCCCATAACATTGGTGTACAACGTCAATCTGACATTAGGTTGACATCTTGAGCCTGCTGGGTGTTTAAAGCCATTTCGGTCATCATACAGTAAACATCTCTCATCTCTCATCAGTGACATGTATCTTAACAGTCTCTGGGTCAAGTTTTCCTGAGAAAAATTACTCAGTTACAGTAGTTTGAGTATTTGTAATTTCTTACTTTACACCATTGAGTATACCATATTAGTAAAAAAAAAAATCATGAACTAGTGGGATGCTTGCCTGTACACTTATGCAGGTTAATTGTGACACAAAAATAAAGCTTATTGTAATATTTTTTTCTGCATTTTTAATAATTATAACTATAGATAATAGTGTAACAATGAAAAATTATATAATATAGAGCTGTAACTTTGATTTTAAAGGCTCCTTGTGGGCAGAGGTGGTATGTAGGTATAACAAGTGTGTGGGCCCGTGAGACTGTTGAGATAAAGGGAATTGGTGGCGGTTTAATTTCAAAAACAGCTTTATTAAAGAATGGTCAGGCAGACATGGGTTGACAACCAGTTTAAACAGCATCAGAGACAATCCAGAAGTGAAATCCATACAACAGGCAAAAAGTTCAAGACATGCAGCAAAGAATCAGAACCACAATATTCATTCATTCATTTTCTTTTCGGCTTAGTCCCTTTATTAATTGAGGTCACCACAGCACCGCCAAATTATTCAGCTTGATTTACGCAGTGGACGCCCTTCCAGCCGCAGCTAAAAACTGGGAAACACCATGCACTCTAACTCACACACATACACAACAGATGATTTTAGCTTATTCAATTCACCTGTACCACATGTCTTTGGACTGTGAGGGAAACCGGAGCACCCAGAGGAAACCGACACCAACATGGGGAGGACAGGCAAACTTCACACACTGTTTACAAGTTGTATTTGTTGTCATAAGCGCTGTCAAAACTGACAGTTGTATGGGGGTGGTTAAGGATGTCAAACTTCACCACAGTGAATACCTCAGACAGATGTAATTTGAAAATGTAACTGAAAACAGGATGCACATTTTCAGACTTCTGTGTTAGATTACAAGAGCAAACATGTTTTTTTTTTTCTTCATGACATCCACAGATGAACGTTCACCCCAAAACTATAGCAATGTGAGCTAGCAAAATCAGTATGGTTAGTTTGAATCCATGTGTACTTTAAACAAAATATTATCCATTTTAGTGAACAATCAATATTTTAAAGTATCACTTTGTATCGATTATCTTTCTGTTAACTAAACACTGCAGTAAATTAAAACATTAAGCCCCAGGAATTACATTTAATTTAGAACAGTTAACAGTGTTGTAAGGTACAACGCAGAGTGCAGTTATAAATTCAGTGTAAACTACAGTATGGCTTCTTGGGGAATATTGATTTTATAAAATGGATGCTCCATATACAAGTTTACACAAAACAGTTCTTAATACTTCCTTGGTGGTTGGAATAAAATGTTTGCAAAGCAATCCAGGCACATCGATACTGATAATATGAGGTCACACAATTGAAAATATGCTGGGTTCCACCTAATACATTCATGTTGTTTGGAGGCTTGATGAGAAGGCTTCCTGAGAAGGCATGAAATGGGGAAAAAACCGGTGGATCTTTTACGGAAGTGTTTTATTCACTAAACATGACGCACATTGTTAATAATCCTGTATTAGCAGCAAATTCAAACACATATTCATGTGAATATTAGGAATAAAGCTATTGTAAATGTGGGTTATTTTAATAGTTCATTTAATTTTGATGTAACATTTTCAGCATAAATAATAAGCAGTTAAACTAAATTGCCTGTAGTGTATGAGTGTGAATGAGTGTGTGTGGCTGTTTCCTAGAAATAGGTTGTGGCTGAAAGGGCATCCGCTGCGTAAAAATGTGTTGGATAAGTTGACGGTTCATTCCGCTGTGGCGACCCTGGATTAATAAAGGGACTAAGCCAAAAAGAAAACGAATGAATGAATGAAGATTCAGTACCATACTTTACTTACAATTCTTATGTAAAGGTTCTATAGCAGATTTACCTGTATTTCCCACCAAGGTTTTATCATGATATGCATTGCACAATCAGCTCTTTGTCTCACAGTGTCTAAAACTGTTCAATCAAGTTTAACTAAACTCCTCTTAATCTTTTCTGATTGGTCAGTCAGTCCAGTCTGTTGTTACTTTCATTTATTCATTTTCTCTTCGGCTTAGTCCCTTTATTATTTAGGGGCGCCACGGCGGAACAAACTCCTAACTTATCCAGTGTATGTTTTATGCAGCAGATGTCCTTCCACCTGCAACCCAGTACTGGGAAACACCCATACACTCACATTCACACACATACTCTTACACTAAGGACAATTTAGCTTACCCAATTCACCTATAGCGCATGGTCTTTGGACTTGTGGGGGAAAACGGAGCACCCAAAGGAAACCCACACAGAAATGCCAACTGACCCAGCAGAGGCTTGAACCAGCCACCTTCTTGCTGTAAAGTGACAGCGCTACCCACTGGGCCACCACGCCGTCTTGTTGTGACTTGACCACCATATCCATTTTACTGTCAGTGGACTTTGAATTAATAATTAATGATCACCATCAACTGACTTCTAAGTAACACAAACACCCTGCACCTTCACCACCTGCTAAGAGACAGATTGCCCATTAGTTTCTCTTTGTGTGGACTACCATTTACTGCCTGAACAATAGCCTACCACACCCAAATCAGATCTCTCTCTCTCTCTCTCTCTCTCTCTCTCTCTCTCTCTCTCTCTCTGTGCACTGAAGTTGTTCTTTAAACAACATTGGTTTGCACTTACCATCTGTTGTCCTCTGCATATTGTGATGATAAAATAATCATGCATAAAACATGATTTTTTATGTCTTTAGTACTTATATGGGAAGGAAAAAGAGTGCCTCCTACAGGTGGTTTGTCAGGTCCACTCACCTGTGTGGAGCATACAACTGCACAATGTTTTCCCGAAAAAAGTGTCCGGTCTACATGCTGCAAAGTAATATCACTTCAATTGCTTCTATTGAATAATTTCAGTAATGATCAAATGCCTCACAGTGCACTTATACAGTATGTCACAATTAAAGAGTCACAAAAGAATGGATCCATGTGGAGCTATTGTTTATTAAATAAATTTAAAAACAACAAAGTGCAAAAACAAAGCAAAACGTGAAGTCCATAAAAGGCAAATATACATCAAACACAATGCAGCCAGCTTGTGATCTGGGGAGCTAAGAGCAAAATACAACAAGACAAGACCCACAAACAATCAAGACAAAGGCTTAAATAGACAGAACTATAAATGAACAAACAATCACCTGAGACCAGTTCGATGATGAGGGATGCAAAGAATTATGGGGCATTAAGTTCAGATAACACAGCAAGCATAACAAGTGTCCTCTCATTGTGAACATGTGACAATATGCAGTATAATATATGGTTGAATGGAATGGCCTTAAGTGTTATTCAACAAACAATGAAAGTGTATTCACTATTTACTTATCCTCGAGTGGTTATAAACCGTTATGGGTTTCTGTCTTTTGCTGAATACTAAATGAGATATTTTAAAGAAATCTAAAAACATGTAACCATTGACATCCATAGTAGGAAAAACAAATAAGGAATTCAATGATTAATAATTATTTGCAGCAGGTTTGGAACAAGTTAATGTTGTGTAAATGATGACAGAATTTTCATTTTTGTGTGAACTGTCCCTTTCATACACTGGATCTGCACTCTATTATGCAGTGTACGTCTTATTCGGTCACGCTTTCAGCAATCAAAAACACAAGGACAGATCTGTGACGCATTCACTGATATCAAAACTATGATGTGAGCAGTGTGTGTTGGCGTTATTTTTGCAAGATGATATGCATTTTAGCAATTACAACTTACTGCTAACCATAATTATATGATATGTATTACTATGTTTGGAAATTGAAAGTTCACCTTAAAATAAAAATTCTGTCACCATTTACTTCCATATTTCACCCTTTACTTTTAACTATAAGAGGCATGTTTGTTTACTGACCAAATATATATATATATATATATATATATATATATATATATATATATATATATATATATATATATATATATATATATATATATATATATATATATATATATATATATATATATATATATATATATTATCTGCCAAATATCTTCATTTATGTTTAGCAGAACAAAAACATTTATACAGGACTGAAACAACCTGAGGGTAAGTAAATGATGACAGAATGTTTATTTATAGGTGAACCACATTTTTTGAGAATGATTACTGTTTCAAATTATGGGTTGCACTTTTGGTTAAGGAAACCGACATTCAAAAGAACTGAAACAAACTACTTCACTTTCAAAGGTTAGGGCAAAACGAATACATTTGATGAATGAAAAGCCTTTGTGCTTTATTTTTAACATAGTTTCAAAAGTTATCAGTGGTCTCACTGTGTTTTTGTTCCTCCAGATTACTTTCTTTTTGTATTCCCATACAGTACTCAACATGTCTGAAATACTGCGTGTCTGTAATACATATTTTTATTGAGTAAACAAATGAAAAACAGATCACAAAGTGAACAACATCATCAGAATAATGACCCAGTGTATAAACTACCTTCTCGCTGTATGTTTTAGAAAATATTTGCTTATTTAATTTGGATAAGCTGGTGAAGCTTAATGTCCGTAATCCTTTTATTTTTAAGGGGCTAACAAATCACACTCAATGTGTTAAGGTAAAAGCTACTCTATCAAATGTTAGTTTAAACAGTGTAGGTGTCCTCCAGGGTTTTGTATGCTCTCCTATCCTGTTTATAGCATAAACAAATGATTGTTTTAGTCAGGATGAGAATAATTGCACTGTAAAATACTGTAATACTGAGCCTGCTGAAATACTGTAATACTGAACCTCATGATAAATGATGAAATAACAAAATATTGGGCTTTGAACAGTGGTGTGATTTAAATCAACTTACTGTAAATGTGGGAAACACCAAAGAAATTAGGGTAGACCTGAAAAGACTGGCTGATTACAGACCACAGTGATTATTCTTAGCAATGTACCTTGGAAAGCCTACATTTACGATCTCTGCTCAAAGTTCCAACAACAACTTTACTTTTTAAGGAGACTCAAGACTGTTTGGAGTAAGTAAAAATCTCATGTTGCTGTTTTATAAGAATAATATAATTAATAAAATCATTGATAAAATTTATTAGCATTTCAAATAGTAAATAACCTTGATGATACTTTTAGTTGCCTTTTTTTGTTTGTTTGTTTGTTTCAATGTGGACTGAGTTCAACGCAAATGTGCTGCTTTGAGTCCAAAACAAATTTCCTGCAAAGGGATAAGTATTACTAAACTCAACTCAGCTTAATTTTCCTATTAGATTGGTATTAAAATATATTTTAATATCCGCACTCTTTGATGATCCCAGCAGGTGTGGAGCGATCTAATCCGGCTGAAGGCTTCATCACGCATCAGCTGCTGTATTGTCGTGTTGGCATCGGCTTTCATCTGCAGATTCTGATGAATGGCAGCGTGAGTGGCGTTCATGAGCCTTCTGAATACAGTATGTATATTTTCCCTTCAATAATACAGTGAGAACAAACCATCTGCTCATGTTCTATTCTCAGTACAATTGTTCATCTACACTCATTTTTCTTCATTTTATTGCATCCGTTTATGCCAGTTCTGTTTGTCTATTCCTGTTCTTTGTGCAGGTTTGCTGAAAGTGTTCGCTATGAGGCCTGGTGTCGTGGGTATCCGTGGAGTGAAGAGCCAGTTGTATTTGTGCATGAATCAGGAAGGAAATGCTCATGGAATGGTGAGAAATGTTATTGCAACCGGATGGACATTGTAAAAAACATCCTGCTATTTAAAAAAAAAGAAAGAAAAAAAAGCCAGATGCAGTTGCTGGAATAATACTGTAAAAAACATATAGTAGTAATGTAAACAATTACAAAACAGCTTTAAATTTTTACAATTTACCCTTCGCTAAGCCACACCCAAAAACCGCCACCCACCAATCCTGGCTTAGCAACCATAGCTACACGCAGGGACACTGTCAAGCTTTCGAGCGAGGGAAACAGCCATAGCGTTGTGCATATGGATTGTGGATCAAACTGTGCTAAAGGAGCCGAGCTAAGTTGTTTTTTTTTTATATTCCTGACACATTCAGTGATAGACCGATGGCAATAACTCACACACCTCTTACCCTAAACAGTTCCAAACTGTGTTTCCTACAAAAATACAAAGAAGGTTGTGTTTCAAAGCTGCTTTTTCTTTTTTTCACTCGACATTATGAGCACTGCTCCGTTTAAGCCCTCGCCATAGTAACTTAGTCATGCTAATAGCGAATAGGTCACAATGACATGAGTTACTGATCCAGAAAAAACGAATGTGCGAATCTGTTGCTAACTTTACTGAACTTCATATTTCCATCTATTTCAAGCTACGAATATTTGAAATTACAAATCAACAGAACAAAACAGAGATGTGATCATAAACTAAGTACTTGCAATCAATATACTTTACCAGCAGCTGTTTTTCAGTAATTTATCAAGAGCACACAAACATGCTGACAGTTATAGGTGACTTACTGTACATTGTTATGGGTCAATGATGCTAATATTTGGCACAAATTCATCAATTTCTCCATTCTGGACGTTCTTTCTATGAATGAATTATGTAAAAGCACTGTCCATGCGTGTTTCCTTATTGCACAACAAAAGTCTATCAGGATTATTGGCTAAAATAGAGAAATCCCGGTTGATTTAGTTATCATTAAATTATTTTTAAATTTCACCTCCCCTGCTGAGCATGAGCTAAGCTGTTGAATGGTCCGCATCTCAAATCTCAAAACTTACTTTCTAAAACTATTACATGTAAAAATCTGTTTTAAAATCTTCACACTATTAAACATCTCTTGTGTGTATTAAAATGGACTGTACATATATTATTAAATAAAATATATATTAAAATGATATAAACATTATTGTGCCAACATTTAAGACATGATGATGCAATAATGATAAAACACAAAACACCACATTTGCACATAACTGATGTCCATAAATAAATAAAACACAGGTTAAAACATTAGTGAAATGAAGTCAAAAAAACTCAAATGTTGGGAATGTCAATTTATGTTTTTTTCATTATTGTATATTATAAGATGAGCTTTTAGTTTTACTGCAGCATTTTATTGTGAAATGGCAAGAAATGTGTTAGCAGCTCATCTACTTTTGTGTGAAAGAGAGAACCAAAATGCAGATGCAAAGAACAAAAACAGACTTTAATAATAGATCACAAAAGACACGGCCACTAAACATATGTGTTTTGACACGAGAACAGGTGTGTATAGGCTGTAAGGCTGTATGAAAAAAAGTGGAACAAAAGAACAGGGAACAAGAACTTAATCACAAATCACATGTCCTTTCCAGTATATGGTTTTACAGTGTTTACAACTATATGACAACTATGAACAGTTTTAGCATGCTATTTAAAGCAACCCTATGCAACTTTCTCTTGATAAATGCAATTGCTTGTTTTTTGCATAGACTACACAAGTTATAAAGGTCAAAGTCTAGTATGGAATCAAGTTCATGCCAAATGTATTGCGGTCAGGAATTGAGTAATAATAAGCATGAATTTAAAAAATTGACATTGCGTTATAAAATTATATTTTACAAAAATTAAATGCACAATAAGAAACAATTCCAAAAGAAGGAGCGTTAATCAAAAATGAAAATATATTTTAAATTACATTGCACAAAATTTCAAACAAATTGCAAATCTTCTACCCCTGTCCTAGAGTTTGGCTCTAACCTTGATCCAACATAATAACCAAGTAAGCAAGATCTAAAGGAGTGCTTGATAAATAAATACAGGTGTGTTTGATAAAGAGTTTAACGGACTCTGCAGGAATGTAGCTCTCCAGGAACAGTGACCTGTTTTTATTAACATCTACACCCACTGCATCCTTGAACTTCTTTGAATCCTTTGATCTTCAAGGTACATAAAACAAAGATTTATAACAAACTAAACTGGATAGGCAGCTAATCTGACTTAATGGACAAAGACCCCTAAAGTTACATGCATGGAGATGGGAGATGGGAAATTTTCTATAGTTAACATTTATTTGACATCTGTTATTACTTAAACAATGACTGTAAAAAAATATGGACAGCGCCTTTTTCCATTAAACACTTTGAAGGTAAAACGCCGCATGACGGGCACAAACTGTCGCAAAAACTGCTGAAATTGGACCCTGGGCATGAGCAGAAGTGACTATCAGATGGAGCCAGAGGCGGAGCCGCGGAATTAAGCTTCCAACCAAACGTTTATATGTCAAATCAACCACGCCACTAGAACTTCTCACGTGACAGCCAGTATCTGTACTAACAAAGGCTCGCTAATAAAAATATAATTTAATAAAAACAATCTTGGACTGCAGAAATAAACAATCTTTCATACACCTAATGCCTAGTTCAGACTGCGTGATTTTAGCCCCGATTTTGGCTCGCCGAAAGGTTTTGAGAAATCGCCGACAAATGCCTGAAATCACAGGCAAATCGCTGCTCGTGCACGTGAGTGACAATCACACAGTATGAACTATCAAAGACGCGATCTGAGAGAATCGCCGATGAGTCGCCGATGCCTGTGAGATATTTGGCATGCTAAATATCTGGAGCTGTCGACGATTCAAATCATGCCATGTGAATTGAGTTTTGACTGAAAATAACATCAGCGATCGCCTACAGCCAATGAGAGAGCAGCTTTCACTTGTGTGTGCGTGTGTATACCTGCTGCAGGCCAGCGGGAGGCTGGGGGAGAAGTTAAAAGCGCTCTTTTTCGGTTCATTTGGACCCACGAAATGGAGGAAAAACTAGTGGAGGTTTGACAGGACTCAGGAGCAACTGTGTCTGTTTGACGTTTCATACAGAAAGAAATTAGTTTATTATCAGCGTTGAGGAGAAATGGCTAATTCCCTTTAAACCCAGGTGAGCAAACATGTACATGTTCTACCCCATTAAAGGCTTCTTTCTCATTATGGAGTTAATAACAAAAGATATACTATGTGTTTTTGGCTGTGAGACGTAGTTTGGACGAAGTTGTCGGCGATTCTTCCTATAGTAAAGTCGCAATGTGAATGTCCCTGTCGCCGATCCATCTTGCAGTGTAAACAAAGCAGCGACGAAACGCTAGCCCAGATAGTCATGCAATGTGAAAACAGCTGTGACACGACTACTTTGAAAATCATGCAGTCTGAACTCGGCATAAGCCTAAGTTAGACTAAGCCATGAGGACAAAAAATATTTCTCTTTTAACAGGGTTGTTAGTATTTAGTTTCTTCATATGGGTAGAAATAACACTTGTAAAATGTGAACAATAACATACGAACAACACATACATTTTTGAAAAGTTTTTTATTTTTAATTAGCAATCAAAAGGAACTAAAATGTACACACCATAGATAACAATTTAACAAGATTTCTAAATATCAACAGGATATTTACACATCCATGCTTTATATAAAATAATCCCTATCAATTTGTACAATAAACTTTGCAGTATTAATACATTAACTGATGTCTATCAGCTGCTGAACATCGCTTGTATATTGTTTATCCTTTTTTTCCCTCCATTTTTTATTTGGTTTATTCGATGCCTTGATCATATCTGAGGAATTTAAAGAGGAATATACATTCATTTTAATGTTTATTAGAAGTTTTCAAAAAAATACAATAAAGCCAACAATACTTGATATATATATATATATATATATATATATATATATATATATATATATATATATATATATATATATATATATATATATATATATATATATAACATTTACAGCTCTTGTTATACAAGATCCGGTTTCTAAAACATTAATACTTTATAGCAGCAAATTCTGTATATTAACTTGATAACATGCTGAAACTAAAAATCTCAGAGACGTGCGCAAGTCAAGTTCAAATAACGTTACAGGATATCAGTGTGAAGATCGGCTAACATTAGTTTTGTCTTCCTAAATATTTTTTTCAGACCCATAAAGAGAATTACTGCTAGATAATGATCACCTGTATTTTCCACATCATTGCAAGGCGTGTATCAGCAAAATAATAAAGCCCGATAAAGCCCTGACCTTATAAAGTGTTCCATCAGATCCTGTATGTCAGAAAGTATTGTTTACTGCTGAACAACTCATTTTATCATGGTAAAATAACACAGAAATAAAATAATAAGACTTCTATCTCCTCCCTATGCTCCGACGGTCTGAGAAACTGTCCATCACAACTGTCAATCACGATGACACGCCCTGTTTTTATAGCATTTAATGACTGGCTAAGAACATACTGTTAACAAAAAATGAATATCTGCTCCTTTATCAGCTGATGACCAGTGCCTTATTCGACCAAAACCATCTTTTGGGACATTTTCTTGCAATTATTATTATTATTTTATTATTTGGGCTCAAGTCTCGTTCATTAACACGAAGGCAGGCTTTATGACTTGTACTGCAGCCAGCCCCCACAGGGTGCTCTAACAGCCAGGACCTTCACTCAAAAGCCGGCATGTGGTACACTTGGTCTGAAAACACATGGTGTTGCTTTAATATGATGTTGTGTAAAGCATGCTGGACAAACTGTAAGTTTCAGAGTAAGTTGAAGCTGAACTAGATAGGTAACACCTATGTTTTTGCAAAATAATAGTCATTTCATCTGTCTGGTAGGTGTAATCAACTGCATTCTGAAATAGTACCTACAAAGGTATGCATTTAATTTTCCATCTCCTTTTTTGTTGTAGAAGAAGTTCTCCAATGAATGTCTGTTTAAAGAGCAAATAGAAGAAAACCATTATAACACATACTCCTCCATGAACCACACAGGCTTTTTCCTGGCTTTGTCAAAGCGAGGCCAGCTACGGAAAGGTTACAGAGTTGGCCGTAATCAGGCCTGCACACATTTCCTTCTTTTAAAAAAACGGGAATTACCCTGAACTGTCTTTCACATCTTGTGTCACTTTCTGTGTAAAACATGCAGCATTAAAACTGTGAAATTTTACTGCAATTTCATTTTATTTTGATACGGGTATATTTTCTCTATATTTTTGAGAAATTGCACTTAATCCATTGTATGGCTTTATAAACTGCAGGGTATAGTGATAGAACAAGCGTGTCATTAAATTATTTATAGCAGTGTGTGTTTTATTTTATCATGTTCAACAAGATGTGAACTTTTGAATTCTATCATTTATTTGACATGTTTAAACTGGTAAATGACTTGTGAATGTGTCTGTTGTTTTTATCTGTTGTTGGTATTTGCATAATGCAGATAAAGTTTATATATTATGTATTTATTTATTTATTTGCTTGTTTGTTTATCTATGTACTGTGTCTGTAATTTAACTGTATCTGAGATAATTAACTGCATGTTAATTTATTATTGCTTAGTTTTGTTTCACTTTCAGTTGGTTTTAATTTCATGTTTTTAGTTTTTGTCTCTTATTTGATTTACTTTTTATATTTCTATTTAGCTTTATTTATATTATTACAGATTAGTTTAAGGTTCTATTATATTTATTTCGATACCTTTATTTTATTAATCTGAAATTTAGATTTTGTTGTGTGTATCTCAAATAACTAAAACTATCAAGTAGACTAAGATTTTCTTGGTCCAATTTTGTCTACTTTGTATGATTACGGTTCTGTGTCCTATCATTAATGTCAGTGTTTAAATTAAAGAGATTCACATGCTGAGTGACAGTGAGTGGTGGTGTTTTAAACTGAAAAAAACTCTTCAAAGGTTGCTTTGACTCTATGCTGAATAAGACATGACAAGTAAACAAAACAGGTCTCCCATGGAGCTCTCCAATGACAACAGTTTCAAAACAAATGTAATGCTCCCTGATAGAAACAAGCATAACCATCCCCTACCTGCGTAATCAACGCATTATTCATGTACCAATTCATGTAGTGTCTTATTATGTTGGCTTATTGTCTGTCTCTCAATCTGTCCATCAAATAATTGGTCATCTGTCTGTCAACAGCAGGGGCGGACTAATGATGTGGGGGCCCTATGAGCAATTCCAGGTATGGGGCCCTAGCATTGAAACTGACAGCCTATGCTCCAGCTTATCCTGAAGGAAGGATAACATGATGCTAATCTGGCAAGTTCGGGGGTCTTCTCAACAAGAAGAACGTACTTGATGGTTTTAAGTGCCGCGGGCGGTAAGTCACCTAAGTCTTCCACGCTCTGTCTATGGACCACACATGGAGGTTCTAGAGATCTGGGCGGGGTGCCCTATCCCTGAGAGAGGAGGTCCTCCCATAGGGGAATGCTCCGAAATTCAGGGGCCTCGGTCAGGGAATAAAACAGTTGGCAATGTGCGTTCTCAGTGGAAGCAAACAGATCGATCTGGGCTTCCCCGAAGCACGCCCATATCAGCTTGACCGAATCGGGGTGGAGTCTCCACTGTCCTCGGGACACTAACTGCCATGAGAGCACATTGGCTGCATGGTTTAGCTCGCCTGGAATGTGAATGGCACACATGATTTCGAGCTGAGACATGCGGCGAGAGCGTATACCCACAATACGGTTGATATAAGCTACCATCGCCATGCTGTCCATCCTGACCAGCATGTGTTTCTGCTCCAGCACCGGAAAAAAACAGCGGAGGGCCAGATACACTGCCAACAGCTCCGGGCAGATGATATGCCAATGCAAGCAGGGTCTGGACCACGAACCCGTAGCTGCATGCTTGTTGCACATGACCCCCCAGCCTGTGCTGAAGGCATCTGTTGTTAGGACAACATGTTTGGATACTAGCCCTAGGGGCACTCCGGCCTGTAGAAAAGCCAAATCCATCCAGGGGCGGTGTGGAGACACAGCGGAGTGATGTGCACCCGATGCATACTCGTGCGCCATGCCCATCTAAGGACTTGATCGCGAAGCCAACACTGAAGTGGTCTCATATGAAGCAAACCGAGCGTTGTGACCACGGCTGTTGATGCCATATGACCATTATCTTCCTGTGAAGCTCGTTTACACAAGAAAGCAATAGCCTGGCACTCTCCTCTCAGAATTAAAAAAACTAATTCAGAAACTAAATATGTGCAGTTAATTAGCCCTGGGAAAAACAATGGCCACATTAGTGGTCCAGAAATGCCACCTCTGGCTAAACCTGGCAGATATGATGATGCTGACAAAGTCTGCTTTCTTAACGCACCCATATCCTAGACTGAACTGTTTGGCGACACAGTGAATTTACTCAAGAGTTCACTGGAGTGAAAGAGCAGTCGAGAGCGATGGGTGAGGTCATCTATCCATGGTCTTATAAAACTGCTCCACCCATCAGACCATCCACCTCAACTGCTCCTAGCTGAGGGCACCCACCTCCAGCTTCAAGGCCTGCTCTGCCAGCCTTGCTTAATCCTCCGGCAAAGCGGCAGCATCAAGCACCCCGTAGGCATTCAGTGCCCCTGCCCCAGCATGCCATTAACGAACCACAAAGCAGCCCTTGCTCAGTGAAGGGCCAGGGACACCATCAAATGGTGTTTTTCAACAACAGGTCGCTGGCCTCATGGCCTGCCGCCACCAAATTCTCAACAAAAGAGCTTTTTTTCCCTTCTCTGGTTGTGACAAATTGAACACTGCCAGCCTGGGATGCTATGCCTTCCAGCTCACAAGATCAGTGCACCTCGCCACAAGCTCTGAGTGTGTTTGACGATAGATTACCTTCTCTCGAACCACCAGCCCCTCAACAGGACCCCACAGGAAAGGTGAGAGTGAATTGGTTATGCACAGGGACAGGGTGCTCCGGCACCTTGACCTGTTGGGTTTTCAGGTCAACCAAGAAAAGAGCAAGCTTGTCCTTGTGCAGAGCATCTCTTTTCTTGTTTTGGAGCTGGACTAGATCACAATGATTGTGTGCCTCTCCTGAGCTGATGCTGATCTGTCTAAAAGTGTTTGACAGGAAAAATTTAGTCCCACCAAAATCATTTCAGAGGTTCCTGGGGCATATGGCAACTGTTGCTGCAATCAAGCAATCTGATTGCTCCATATAAGAACGCTTTAGCATTGGCGTAACAATCTGGCCCCTACACACAAGGCACAGGGCCACACAACAGATAGCTTTCACTTCGCTTTGTCACAAGGCCTTTAGCCTTTGAATGGACCCTGCATTTCTACAGGCCAGAGTGCTTCTAGAACAAATGTTAAGGCATGTCATCTGAACAGATGTTTCCAGTACAGACTGGGAGGCATTGTGTTGCGAGTGTAAAGCTGTGGTTCTGTGGAAAAGAACCACATGCCTCAGCTCACTTGCTGTCGGCTCCTCTGCAGACATATGTGGCTGAAATCGATTTATGCCATTCAGATCGCTGGTGAGCTCAACCATGCATTTGATGCGCTCTTACAGCAGCTTCCACTTCCAGGATAAGCCAAGGTTGACCTGTTTGCTTCCTCTGGGGCTACGTTCACACTGCAGTCAAATGTGGCCCGAATCAGATTTTTTCCCCTCATGCGACAGTGTAAACAGCCCAAACCGCATGGAATCTGATCTTTTCAGGTCAGATTTGTGCCACTTTCATATGTATTCTATGTTCAAATGTATGCTATGTTCCTTCGCCACAGCGGTTCACCTTAGCTTGAAAAGGTGCTGAGCGATGTGTGTCTGACAGTCTTATGCAACTATTTGTGTAATTCATTGGCATTTCATTGGCCTGTTACTCTTCAGATCATTGGCTTTCTGATAAAATACCCCATAGTGAAAGTGTTCCACATAGCAAATTCATTTCCCCCTTTGGGGAGAGAGGGCTATGTTTTACAGTTTTGTTCTTTTGTCTGTGTCTTATGCAGTGTGTGCTGGCTTGGAAGTCTTCTGATGAGTCGTTGCTGGTTCTCCTCTATTCTGAAAGAGTGATCTGCATTCCAGCCAGGCTATGAGTTACCTTAGACTTAATGATACTTTCAAGGATTTTAATACAAATAAGATTAATATAGACAAAGACAGCATTTTACCTAGATTACAAAAAACATGAACATACACACATAAAAACATTACATACATTCTAGGATATACTTATGGCTATTTTAAAAAGGTCCAGTTCTGTTCGCATGTAAGTGTAAAAAGTTTTGAGGCTTGCCTATCAAGGTGGTTTCTGTGGTAACTCTAAGTTGGGTATAATCTCTTATAAAATTTGTGGGGAGTTGTGGGTTTCCAAGAGAAGAGCTGCCTAAAAAGTGACAATGAAATATGTTTCTTTATCTTTCTCAATCTCTTACACTGATTATGTGTCTGTGGAGAGGTAAGTGTGATCTAACACCCAATAAGGTGGGAGAGCATGCTCGGAGCCAGGCGGCCAATCAGCAGGTCAATCAGAAATAATAAATAACACCTTACTTTCTAGTGATTGGACCGGAGAGACTCCGGCTGTTTTCTCAATTCCAAGAATGCAGAGAGACTTGCGTTCTTGTGGAGACCGGTCTTGCCAGGTGTCCTCGGAAGAACGAACTCAGGAGACCACGAGGGCAGAGAATGCGTCCTTTGAGAAATGGGATGTTGCATTCTTCCTGATGGTCACGTGACCTTCATGCGTTTTAAATGGAAATTATTTAAACATTACAGCCCTCATACAACGATTTATTGTTTCCCCCCTCTTCAAAATTTATACTTTGCATAAAACCATTATAAATATACTCTGCACAATATAAATAAAACAAATTTTAATACGAATTTCAGCAAACAAACAACCCTTAATGTGTTTATTCCTTTAATAAGATATTCATGTTAATTCATGTTCATGTTAATTCATTCATAATTCATGTTTACTTTCATCGTTTGATTTAGGGAAACTCCTGAGGTAAATAAGTGATATCTCTGAACTTTAATAATAAATCTAAATAAAATGCTGCACTTCCCACCTCCAGTCGCAATGACTTCTGGGACTTCCAGAGCGAGTTCGGTGCTCAAGTCTGCATCAGTGCGTCCTCGATATCAAGATTACATCCGGGAAGTTTCACGCGTCCTCCGTACTTGCGGTCTTGAGTATTGGAACTGAACTTAGGCAGCTAATGATGTGATGTTGCACGAGAACACGAGGACACAAGACCGCTGAAGAACGCATATTGAGAAACAGCCTCCCTTCTTAAGGATGCGGGAGGAGCAGTCAGGAGAGGACAGAGCACACACACACACATCCACGCAGTGGTGAGTGTGGCACAAATACAAAAATAAAAGATAATTACTTACCTGATATCGCCGACCCTGTCTTCTTCTTCCCACACAACAACAAACTTTATTACAGTGTCTAAAGTGCATTTAAGTGTTTATTAGAATTAGTTGATCTGGCCAGGCCAGTGACCTCTAGAAATAAGCCAGATGATAACCATTAAAGTATGGTGACTGCTGAAGAAACAGCCGACAACTGGAACATAAATAACCAGGGCATAGAGGGCTGGTAACCAAGCCTGCAGCTCCCGATGGGCACACCC